TACGCCGACGGACGTGTCTAACAATTCCGTCTCAAACAGGAAATCGGAAGGAGATAACAGATGCGTTGAAGAAGCCATTGACTATGCTCGTGCCAAGCAACGCAGCATTTGTCAAGGGAAACCTGACTCATTATAGCAGCATCAAAATTGCGACTCTTGTCTCATTCCACGCTCTTAAAGGCGTTTTGACTGATCTCCAGCTTCAAATGCTGAAGCCAGGAACTCAAATTCCCACCATGGCAACAGATGCGAAGACCAAGAAGCCGTTAATGCTTGTCAAGCTTTCAAAAGCCAGTACGACGAGCAGAGTTATTCTTCAGGGAAAGCGAGGCCCTACGAAAAGCACACTGATGATCGTCAAAGGTGATTTCTACGTGAAACCAGGGGAACTGGCGGTTCATACCACTGACGCCATTGCTCTCCCAACTGGATTCTAGTGGAAGAACTCGAAAGCTACTAAAGACCCTCCCAACCGGGACGGAGTGGAAGTTGAATGCATAAGCCAAGTGGCAAGATGAAAGGACTGTTGGTGACTAACCTCGGAACTTGCTTCTCTTCTCTGATAAAGATTGAGGGAACGATCGGATACTACATGCAATTTACTGTGACATGACATCCATGCTTGCGCCTGAAAATAAATGAATCCACTATTATTTCGTGCCCCACACCATACACCTGAATAGGTGTACAACTTAGAATAAGCAACACTACTCAAAAAGGGTGAGGGTTTCTGGCATTTTCTCTACATCAGTCGACCCACCAGAAACCTCTGCCTTGGCCGGGCTAATTGCTGCAGCCATAAGGCTCCCTCCATCAGCATCTCCTTGCAACGGGGTTGCCTTCCCAAGAGGCGTGCTCAAGCCAGGCTGGTTCCCATTAGAAGCACCTCCATCTGTCACTGCATGATCTTCACTCAGCGTTGCACCAGCAATTTGAGAAGGAGCAGCCACATCCATTGGATCTCTTGCAGATCCTCCACCTGAAGCCTTCGAATCTCCTGCGGCATGTACATCAGCAACGGTTGGATTTTCTGGTGCCTGTGCAGCCACAATGGTCGGATCTCCAGATGTGGTCTGTGCAGCTGCCAGCATGGCTTCCTCCCTTACAATCACACTCGCAGGCGACTCGGGGAGCCCAGCCCACAGAAACCCCCTTGGAGAGGAGGTGGGGAAGAGAGGCGAATTGCAGGAGGAGAATACGAAGAATGGGGATGGTTGTGGGTACGGGACCAGAGGGGAGACGAGAGGTCGGGAGAAAAGGCCTGGTGTGTGCTTTGGGCTCGGACCAAGAACACCAGCAGAAGGTGCATTAGCACCAGCACCACTAGCCGCAGCAGCAGCGGCGGCGGCTGTAGTGGTGGCAGCAGCAGAAGCAGGGCCAGAAGGTAACAAGGGAGGGGAGGGAGGGGTTGAACTGGAGGGGGAGGAAGAGGAGGAGGGGATGAGAGGAGGTTGGGAGGAAGTGAGAGGGCGGATTGGGGGAGGCGCTAGAGATTGCAGACGAGTGACTTGGCGAGGCCTGGGGGGGCGAGGCTTGCGGGGAAGCATGGAGGAGAGAAGGTGGGAGGAGGGGAGGAGAGGAGGCTTGCTGGTTGAGTAGGGGAGATGTGGAGGGACACTGGGTCGAGGCAAGAGGGGAGGAAGGGCAGAAGGGGGATGTTGCTGCTGCTGTTTTTGCTGTTGCTGCTGCTGTTGCTGCTGCTGCTGCTCTTGCTGTTGCTGCTCTTCCTGTTCTCGCTCCTGCTGCTTCTCCCCCTGTGCCTGGTGCCCATCTCGCTCTAGTGCTCCTAATGAGAACACTTCCTCAGCATTCTGCTGGATTTCCTGCTCCGGCTGCTGCGCCTGCTGCTGCACCTGTTCCTCCCCCCCTTGTGCCTGCCGACCATCTCGCTCTAGTGCTCCTAGTGCAAACACTTCCTCAACATTCTGCTGCGTTTGCTGCTCCGGCTGCTGCGCCTGCTGCTGCAGGAGCTGCTGCTCTCCCTGTGCCTGCTGCCCATCTCGCTTTAGAGCTCCTAGTGCAAACACTTCCTCAACATTCTGCTGCATTTTCTCAAACTGCTGCTGGGCCTGCTGCTGCACCTGCTGCTGCTCTCCCTGTGCCTGCTGTCCATCTCGCTCTAGTGCCTCTAAGGATAACAACTTCTCAACATTCTGCTGCGCTTGCTGCGCCAGCTGCTGCTGTTGCTCTAACTGCTGCTGCTGCTGTTGCTGCTGTTGCTCCAACTGCTGCTGCAGCTGTTGCTGCTGCTGTTGCTGCTGTTGCTCCAACTGCTGCTGCTGCTGCTGCTGCTGTTGCTCGAACTGCTGCTGCAGCTGCTGCTGCTGCCGGTGTTGCTCCAACTGCTGCTGCTCGTCCACCCGCATCCGCTTTTGCGGCGCCTCAAAGAGAAGCTGCTGCCCGTCTGCTTGCATCGTTCGCTCATCAACCCACATCCGCTTCCGAGGCGCCTCAAACGGAAGCTGCTGCTGCTGCTGCTGCTGCTGCTGCTGCTGCTGCTGCTGCTGCTGCTGCTGCTGCTGCTGCTGCTGCTGCTGCTGCTGCTGCTGCTGCTGCTGCTGCTGCTGCTGCTGCTGCTGCTGTTGCTGCTGCTCTCCCGCCGCTTTTCTGCGACTAACGGCTTGTGACAATAGCGAAATGATGCCAGGATTCAGCTGGAGGCACATTGCCAGCCTCGAGCTTGCCACACCTCCTGTGCTTTCAGTTACTGCACTTCCCTTTCCTAAAGTTTCAGTTACTGTACTTTCTATTTCGACTTGTCCTGTTACTGTATCTCCTGCTCCTAGAAATCCTGTTTTGGTATTTCTCGATACAAAAGTTTCTAAAACTGTCGTTCCCGTATCAGCGTTCCCTACGATTGCTTGACGCATCAGTGCATCAAAATCGCCGTCTGCAAGGCCTTCATTTGCTGTATCTCCGCTGCTAGCAACCTCGATAAAAGCAGCTGCGATGCTAGCATCTCCCATATTAGCAGCTTCAATATCAGCGCTCACATCATTCGCAGCTCTGGTACTAGAAGCTCCAAAATTAGCAGCCCCGATATGAGCAGCTTCTATGTTTAATGCAGGCTGCTGTTGCAACGGCTGGTGTTCATCTGTGGCTTCTAAAGCTTCGCATGGAGAAGTTACCAGCTGCTGATTTCCGCTTGAGTTCGTCGCCCGAAGTTGCTGACGCTGCAGAACCTGCTGCTGCTGCGACGACTGTTGTTGTCGTTGTTCATGCCTCTGCTGCAGCTGCTGCCATTGCACCTGCAGCGGAAGGGCCGCCGCTGCTGCCCCCTTCAGGTTTTGAGCCGACTCGGAAGCCTTCTTTTGTGTCTGCTGTTGTTGCCCCTGCCTCTGCTGCTGCTGCCATTGCACCTGGAGCGGAAGCACCCCACCGCCTCCGACTTGCGCCGCTCCGCCAGACGCCCCTCCTCCTCGCGACCTTCCGCCGACAGGCTCGACTCCCCCTCCGCTCGCCCTTTCCCCCGATTCTCCGCCCTTTCCGCGCGCCTTTCCCCCAGGCCCGCGCGCGGGTCCCCCATCCGCATCATCTGGGGCTGCGCCTGTGAGCTCTTGAACCAGCGACCGGAAATTCGCCACATCCGTTTGAATTACCTTCGCTTCGGGAACAACCGCTTTGGTTTGTTTCTTCCCAACCCCCTTGCCTATTCTCTTGGAGTTCTTATCTACACCGAGTCCTGCTGGATTAGGCGGTGCCATAACGGGAAGTAAAAATTCCGGTCTGCCCTAAAAAACGTACATGTAGAGGGGAAAATCAGGACGTTATGCGCTAGGGAGGAAGTGGGGAATAGTTTAGAATGGCGAAGGCATCGGATTGCACGAGAACAGGGTGGGTAGGCTCTGTACCCTAGAATGATACTGGAGAATGTGTAGCAAGAATGTTGCACATATATATTGTTACTGGAAACGTATGACTATTAATGTACCTTAGTATACAGATGGCACGCGACCGGTGGTCTGCACGCTGTGGACTGTACGGCGTGTTTCGCGGCGGGAAACGCAGTAGAGAGCAGCTGAGTAACAACCGAAACTCAGCGCTGCGTCTAATTAGTTTAGTACGGACGTGCTACAATTTGTAGTAGAGCGATCGAGTTACCAGAGGCGGCGCATATTTCCACACTTTTCTAGGCGCGTCTGGAAACGCGTTTCAATGCAGTGGGCCCATTACGTTTTGACTCGACTAAAGCAAGGCAGCCATGGGAGAGGAGGAGACTCGCAGTGCAATGTACCCCTTTTCCCTCTTTCGTGCGGAACAGTCATCAGGGAAGACTCGCGCAAGCATGAATTTGCTGCAGGGCGGAAAGGTGGATGGCGGAACGGGGAAAACCGAAGCGGAAGGGCGAATGTCGGAAGGGGAATGGAGAGAGAAGAGAGGGCCGAGGCGGAAGGGGGAAAGAGGGTGCAGTGTAGAAAGTTGAAAGGCGGAGGGCGAAGGGGGAGGGTGGAAGGCGAAACAGCCCAAATAGTCAACCCCTGGTTCGCTGCGGTAACTAGAGTAAATCGGCACATTTCAGTACCGAGCAGTACGATTTCCTCGACAGGCCACCGCAGGGTGGACGCGCGATTTCGTGAGCATTGACCCCGCCAGCCTGGTTCTTGCCTGTGTGCGCCAAGGCAGCTGGACGCAGGGTGACTGTCAGCGGACCCCTCGATGTGGTATCGTCTGGTCTGGGGATACCGGGTACAATCGACAGGGTACAAGCATCCCCGGTAGAACGAGTCTAAATCTGAACAAAAATTAATGTACGCGCTACACATATCAGTTTATGAAATAATGTTCCCACATCTCAATTTGCTCACTGATTGGCTCATTAGATGCTTGGCCTGCACCAAATGAGTGTTCAATTAACGACAACAGTAGGTTATAAACCCCAGTTGCAACCAAGCCAAAAGCTCTACAATCAACAGGAGCACTCACTTGTGTTGGATGCTCCTTTTTCAGCAGAATTGTTGTTACTTAATTTCATACGACGACTGCAGTAGCATATAAGCTAATTAAGCCAAATGCTCGATAATCAACTGGTGTCCCTCACTAATGGGCTCCTTAGTGCGAACTGCCTGGGCCAACATAGGCATGTCCGTGGAAGCATCCAGGAAGTTGCTGAGGTAGAGCAGCAGGTGAAAGTCTGCAAGGCGGTCGGCCCATGGCTTGGAGCGGGTGCGATCCAAATGCTGCTTCAGGTCGTTCTGAGTGGGAAGAATCACCCTGTTCTCCACTGGGAAGGATGTTGTGAGAGGGCCCTGGGGGGAGCAAACAGGGAGGGGAATAGTAACACCAACATCGGTAAATGCTGCTTCAGGTCGTTCTGAGTGGGAAGAATCACCCTGTTCTCCACAGGGAAGGACGTTGTCAGAGGGCCCTGCAGGGAGCAAGCAGTGAGACTGAAAGAATGAATGGTAGGGAATGGTTTCCCGTTCCTGTATCTCATGCACAATCCCGCATTGCTTGATGCTAAGCAGCGAACAGCGAACAATCCATATCAAGCACACGTCACACCTCGTGGTCGACACGACAATCTTCACAAGCATGAGAGAGAAGTCAATATCCACCTCGTACGTGTCCCTCCCAGCCACCAGCACCACCAGCACCACCACCACCATTGCCTCTCCTCGAACTCATGTGTACCTAATGCTGTACACCAAGCACTCCATATCGAGTACAACCCTTACCTGGTGGTCAACAATCTTAATCGGCATGAGGAAGAAGTCGTTATCCACCTCCTTTGTGTCCCTCCCAGCCACCACCACTTCTTTCCTCATTCTAGACACCTTCGGATCAACCTCCTTCTCCTCCTCCTTCTCCCCCTTCTCCCCACTCTTCCCTTTCTCCTTCTCCCCAACCTTCCCCTTCCCCTTGTCCCTCCCCCCGCCTCCCCCCCCCCTCCTCCTCTTCCCCCTTCCCATCCCCTGCAAACCATCCTTCCCGGTACAGCTTCAGGCACTGATCGCTTAGTTGAAAGGCCTCAAAATGCACGTCCCCGCCCCCATCCCCCTCCTCATCCACTAAAAGTTTCACCAGCACGATCGCGAAGTACTTAAACGGCTCCCCTCCCTCCTCCTCTCCTTTCTTCTCTCCTCCTTCCCCTCCTGCCGCCCCATCCCCGTTCCCCCTCCCCCCTGCCTGCGCACCAGCATCCGCTGTCCCCCCAGCACTCGCCTCCCCCTCCCCGCCCCCCTTTCCCCCGCTGCTATCCCTAGCAGTGGCGCAATGAAGCCTAGCTGAAAGCAGGAGGTCGGAAGCAGATAGAGTGAAGGAGTGCTCCTGTGCCTGTTGATCCTCTGCGAGGGTTTGAGTCACGATGAAGCCCACACAGCGCATGCCCAACCCCGCTGCTATCGCCGCCACTGCCCTCTCTTCAGCTGGAGGGAGTGTCAGAGAGGGGTGAAAGAGGGAGCAAGGGAGGGAGGAAAAGAGAGAGGCAGGGGCGTGGGTTTGAGTCATGATGAAGCACACACAGCGCATGCCCAACCCCGCTGCTATCGCCTCCACTGCCCTCTCCTCCGCTGCAAATGTGGGGAAAAGGGGGACACGGGAGCGAGTGAGGCAGTAAGGCAGTGAGGGAGTGAGGAAGGGAACGAGTGAGGGAGTGAGTGATTGAGTGGGTGAGTGAGTGAGGGAGGGAGGGAGGGAGGGAGGGAGGGAGGGAGGGCATGGGAGGGAGAGAGAGTGAAGGGGTGTTCCTGTGCTTGTTGGTCCTGTGCGAGGGTTTGAGTCACGATGAAGCCCACACAGCGCATGCCCAACCCCGCTGCTATCGCCGCCACTGCCCTCTCCTCCGCTGCAGGGAGCGAGGGAGCGAGTGAGGGAGCGAGTGAGGGAGCGAGTGGGGGAGTAAAAGCAGGAGCGAGGGAGTGAGGGACCCAGTGAGTGAGAGAGTGGAGGAGTGAGTTGCACAGGCCTGCTCCCACCTTCGTTTGGGAAGATCTACAGGGTGTGCTCTGTGCCGTGCTGGGGCAGCTTGTAGATGAAATCCACCAGCACGTGCCCATCCTCCGTTGCTTGTGAACCTGTGTACATGTGAGTTTGCTCCCACCTTCATTCGGGAAGATCTGCAGGGTGTGCTCTGTGCCGTGCTGTGGAGCTCATAGATGAAATCCACCAGCACGTGCCCATCCTCCCTTAGACGTGCGTATGTGCCTCCTTCACTTGAAAAGATCTGCAGGGTGTGCTCTGTGCCGTGCTGAGGCGGCTCGTAAATGAAATCCACCAGCACGTGCCCATCCTCCCGCACCTCCCAGGGTTGACGCGGCAGCATGTGAGTGTGAATGAATGTATGAACTTTTGAGACGTCTCAAAAGTCGACTACCTATGTGAGAGTGAATGAACGTATGAACTACCTATGTGAGAGTGAATGAACGTATGAACTACCTATGTGAGAGTGAATGAACGTATGAACTACCTATGTGAGAGTGAATGAACGTATGAACTACCTATGTGAGAGTGAATGAACGTATGAACTACCTATGTGAGAGTGAATGAACGTATGAACTACCTATGTGAGAGTGAATGAACGTATGAACTACCTATGTGAGAGTGAATGAACGTATGAACTACCTATGTGAGAGTGAATGAACGTATGAACTACCTATGTGAGAGTGAATGAACGTATGAACTACCTATGTGAGAGTGAATGAACGTATGAACTACCTATGTGAGAGTGAATGAACGTATGAACTACCTATGTGAGAGTGAATGAACGTATGAACTACCTATGTGAGAGTGAATGAACGTATGAACTACCTATGTGAGAGTGAATGAACGTATGAACTACCTATGTGAGAGTGAATGAACGTATGAACTACCTATGTGAGAGTGAATGAACGTATGAACTACCTATGTGAGAGTGAATGAACGTATGAACTACCTATGTGAGAGTGAATGAACGTATGAACTACCTATGTGAGAGTGAATGAACGTATGAACTACCTATGTGAGAGTGAATGAACGTATGAACTACCTATGTGAGAGTGAATGAACGTATGAACTACCTATGTGAGAGTGAATGAACGTATGAACTACCTATGTGAGAGTGAATGAACGTATGAACTACCTATGTGAGAGTGAATGAACGTATGAACTACCTATGTGAGAGTGAATGAACGTATGAACTACCTATGTGAGAGTGAATGAACGTATGAACTACCTATGTGAGAGTGAATGAACGTATGAACTACCTATGTGAGAGTGAATGAACGTATGAACTACCTATGTGAGAGTGAATGAACGTATGAACTACCTATGTGAGAGTGAGCCTGCTCCCACCTTCGTTTTGGAAGATCTGCAGGGTGTGCTCTGTGCCGTGCTGTGGCGGCTCGAATCTGAAATTGCCCAGCACGTGCCCATCCTCCCTTCCCTTAGACGTGCGTATGTGCCGAATCCCACCTTCATTTGAAAAGATCTGCAGCGTGTGCTCTGTGCCGTGCTGCGGCGGCTCGTAGATGAAATCCACCAGCACGTGCCCATCCTCCCGCACCTCCCCGAACAGGAAGCCGCCCCGCTTGATGGAGAAGGCCAGGCTGTCATGCACGTAGTGCTGGGAGAGTGAAGGGCGGGATAGGTGTAGGAAAATACTCGTTATAGAGCAAATCATCAAACAAGAACCCCCCTGGTCTGAGTCCTCAAGGACCTCCCCATACAGGAAGCCGCCTCTCTTGATGGAGAATGCCAGGCTGTCGTGCACGTAGTGCTGGGAGTGGGGTGAGAGGGGGGATGGGGTACGGGAGGGAGTGTTGTCCCCGTTATAGAGCACCTCGTTGTACATAGACTTCCCTAGTCTGAGTCCTGCCGCACCTCCCTGTTCAGGAAGCCGCCTCGCTTGATGGAAAACGCCAGGCTGTCATGCCCGTAGTGCTGCGAGTGTGAGGAGGGACGTGAGGGAGGGAGATTTATGGGAGAAAGTGTTGTCCTCGTTACAGAGCACCTCGTTATACACAAGCCATTGTCTGAGCCCTCCCTCACTTCCCCGTACAGGAAGCCGCCTTGCTTGATGGAGAACGCCAGGCTGTCATGCACGTAGTGCTGGGAATGTTAAGGGAGAGTGGAGTTTGCGATATGGGAGGGAGGGTATGTATGAGCGTATGCCTTCTTCCTTTAAGTGAGTTCTCCCGCACCTCCCCATACAGGAAGCCGCCTTGCTTGAGAACGCCAGGCTGTCATGCACGTAGTGCTGGGAGAGTGAAAAGGGGTGTGTGTAAGGGAGGGAGTGGGCATACGAGGAAGGGGGTATGCGACGGAGTACTGTAAGCGTTACAGAGTAACCTGTGTGGCGAAAGAATGGAGCCTGGGACGGGGGGAGAAGGGAACGTGGAGCGAGCCTGAATCACAGCAATCCGGATAGTCAGCAATCCTGATTCCTAGGAGAATACTTTGTGCGACAGGAACCTCACCTGAAACACGTTCGCAGCGTCGCGATCGAACGACACTTGCTGGCAGTGCGACGTCTCCTGTCGCTCGATTCGCATCTGTCGCGCGACCATGTCGCTCACGGTCATGTGTCGGCCGAACGATCCTGCGGGAACGACAGGCACCGGCGGCCCTGCGACAGTTCGCGAAGCACTGTATTTCGCGAACACTATGCTCCCGTGGCCTATAGCTAGGGAATCTAGCGACGCGGAAGGATCCGCTAAGTCTTTAAACTTCTCCGGGTCGGCTGATAGGAGAAGGGATTGGTCCGTAGAGAGGATCAGATCGGCCAATGGGATCGCGAGCTGCTGCGAGATTTGCGCGCGGAGGCCGGAAACGGTGGCCTCTGATTCGTCCAGCTGGACTCGCTCCAGCCCGTCGCGGCTCCGTACGCGTAAGGTGATTCGTTTTCCCGCCATAACGTAGATAAAGAAAACGACTCAATAAGAATCTACCGAGGTATACTTAAGCAGGAGATGGTATTACGAGTAAGGCAATCCAGGAGGTTTTGAGATGAGCAGACCAACCAGCCAACCCCGAAACTGGCTTGCTCTCAGATGTGAATTCGAGGACGGGAGACGAAGAAACGCGAGAAAGAGTGGCAGGAGACTTGAATTCGGGCGAAACCACTAAGGGAGATGCTGTCAAATCTGGTGCGAGACGATACGCAACCGAAAAGGCGGAACCTGAGGTCCTCGGAATGTGGAAGCTAGCAGGCTTCTGAAATTAGAGCCATGGGTGGTGAAGTGTGGTGGTGATGTTTTACACACACAATGAATCCCGCATTCATCCATGGCAGGGAAACAGATGCCAGAGAGGAGGAATGTATTGACGAGGATTTCTCAACTCGATACAACAACAAGCAGATTGGTGCACTGGCCCGCCAGAGCTACAATCTAGCGAGTGTTTATGATTCCAATGATGCACAGCTGCAGATTAGAAGTGCACCACGATTGCTTGGAATGACTAGGTACATACTACCTGTCAAAGACCTTAATCAGCAACTGAAGTTTACAGGGATATTAAAAGCCATAAAAAAGTATCACCACATTCATAAGTACGGTATTATTGCTTCCGCAGCTGCGGCAAATGCAGCTACTTCCTTCTAAAGCCAGCATTAGAAGGTACCGTATCGGAACTCATGAAATTTTATGGCTCACTTCCAATATCGCCTCTCGTCCTAAGTGCATCCACTTTGTCAAGCAACACATTCAGCTGCCCCGCCAGCACCCTCCTTTGCTCTCGTCCATATTCGTTACAAGACTGCAACTTATCCAACTCTAGAAGTCCGTTCATGATTGTCTCCCCCACCCGAAGCTTCTCCTTAGGCTCGGCAACCAATCTGACTTGAAACTCCTCATCACCGAGCCTCTCCTCCATGTCCTGAGCCAGCTTCTGAAGCTCCTTGATTGTGTTCCCCACTTCTGAAAGCTCTGGTGTTGAGTGGAACAACCCTGGTGAGACATCTACCTCTCCTGCACCTGCTTTTGATGGTGTGACTGCTGATGCTGCTTGTGTTCCAACAGCTGTGGCTGCTGGGTTCTTCAACTGATGCTCAGCGAATTCTTGCTTCTGTTGCCTTGCTTGTTCCTGTTTATGCAGCTGCTGGCGCTGCTGCCCCTGTCCCTGATTCCGCTGCTGCTCCTGCAGTATTTTTTCCTCGTGCTGTTGTTGCTGCTGATCGTGCTGCTCCTTCAGCAGTTGATTCCCCTCCTCATGCTGCTGCCGCTGCTGCTTATGCATCTCCTTTTTCTGCCTTTGATGCTGCCATTTTGCTCCAGGCCCTGCTGTTCCTGCCGCCGGCTTCGCTTGCGTCGTCTGCTCCCCTTCTACCGACTGTTCCGCGTCGCCAGCATGCCCTGCGACATCCTCGTGTCGCAGAGCCTCCTCGCGACGCACGTCTTCACGTCGCCCGGGCGACGACCCGAGCAAAGGCGACGTGAGGGGATCCATCGCCGTGCGACGCCACGGCGACATCTTGGCCCATCGCGACGTGTCCATCGCCGTGCGACGGGAATAAGGGAGGGGCGTGCCGCCCGTAGAAGATCCAATCTGGATCGTTCATCCCACCTGATGCTGGATTATTAGAGAAAAAAAGGGGGGTTCGACTTCACAAGTGTTAGATCTTTTAGGGACACTGCCTTAGGAGGGTTGCCATAGGACGTCAAGGCACGAATCAACCTGGGAATCGGGATTTCCCGACGCCGTGAAAGGCACTTCCGATGCACATTCCTGAATGGAATCGTGAAGAAGCATGCAAGAAGCGTGCTCGATTTCCCCGACGAGACCTCGCATCGCGTGCCGCCCGCAAGCACCATTCATCTGAGGTGAGTGCATGCGATTTTAGGTCGTGCCTGAAGGCGCCGCGACATGGGTGCGGACCACGTGGCATCGGTCCTTAGACCGATGCGACTGCGAGTTTTAGGGGTATGGACAGACTGAAAACAAGACTAGAGGGCGCGTGGGCTCGGCTTGGAAATGAAACATGGAGAGCCCCGAAAGCGAAAATTCTTCGGTTGAAGCAGATTCGAATCACCAGTGGGCTTCGCACTCGGTGAAACAAATAAAACATTATGACACCAATTCATCTATTATAGTCCTATGCTGAACTTAGCACTTTGAGAATTACATGTAATCAATATGCATATGTTCCAATTTAGATTGCATAACACGAAAATACATTGATACTAGCTACATACATTTTGGCCTGATGCCAAGCCCTAAGGTTCCAGGCTTCAACTCTTGACCTTTCAGGGTGTGACAGGTCACAGTGAGAGAACACTGGCCAGCTCAGCTTGTTGCATCCCCGTCTTGTCATCTACTTTCTGAGGTTCCGCACAGGACACGTATAAAGTAGCCATTGTGCTTTACCAGCTGCAGCACATAATTGCTTGCACTTTCTCAGTCTCACTTCGTAGAATCTTTCTCTCCCTCCTCAGGTGCAGGGAGAGTCAGAGCGTCCACCCGATCCAGCAGTTGGTTCAGTTTCCGAGCCATGTCTCGTCTCAGTGCCCGAACGTCCTGGTTCGTAGACTGAACCCCGTCCAGACGAAACAGCCAGCACATGATCGTCTCTGTCGTCCGAAGCTTCTCCATAGGCTCGGTAACCACCTTGGCTACAAACTCCTTGTCCCCGAGCCTCTCCTCCATCTCCCGAAGCAGCTTCCGAACCTCGACGATAGGCTTGGTCACCTCAAACGGCTTAGAGGATCGCACCTGGTGTCCTCTCCATGCGGACTGAATCGCCAATGCTGCTTGCTCGTCTGTCATACCACTAGAAGTGCTGCTAACAGCAGCAACGTTTAGCGAGGGTTGCTCTGCTGATGGTGCTGCTGGTTCCGATTGTGCTGATGCTGATGGTGCCGGTGCTGGTGCTGGTGCTGGTGCTGTTGCTGATGGTGCTGCTGGTGCTGCTTGTAATGCATCATTTGCTGCTCTTGCGTCAGTCACAGGAATCACCTTCACTGCCACTGGAGCTGAAGACTGCGTTCTCCTGGGAGACCTCGCATTCGTGGGAGGCGTTTTGGGCGATTCTTTGGGAGATGTTTTAGGAGATACTGCTCCTGGCGGTGGTGCTGCGGGCTCGAAGCCGGGCTCCGGGGTTGCGGGATGGTTTGGGGAATTCTCGAAAACGCCCTCGAAAATCGGCTCCAGCTCGGGCATTGACTCGTCGCTGTCGGAATCAGAAAGCGACTCGCTCCAATGCTGCTGCTGCTGCTTCCGCTGCTTTTGCCGGATGCCGTCATTTTGAGCATCCTTCTGCTTCTGCTGCTGCTGCTGCAGCTGCTGCTTCTCTTGCGCATCAATTTGCGCCAAATTTTCCTGCTGCGCGCGCATCTGCGCCAAATACTCTTCCCGCTTCCGCATCTGCGCCTGCTGGAGCGCGACAGCGTGCGCCTGGCGCCGCGCCTCCTCTTTCCGCAACTCCTCCTGTCGGCGCAGCTCCTCCTGTCGGCGCAACTCCGCGGCGTGGCGCAACTCCGCCTGGCGCCGCTGCTGCGCCTGGTAGTGAGCGACGGATCGGGAATCAAACGGGTCTTCGACAAAACCCCCGCCGCGCATCGCGGGGTGATTGCAGTGGCGCGGCGATGCTTCGTGATACCGGGGATAATAAGGAGACTGGAAGCCGGGCATGGAGTGCCTCGGGAAGATCATCTCCGGAAAACCGAAATCCATGATATTATCTCCTCTCTCTATGGAGTAATTCTCGCAGAGCTCTGGGTGCTATACCACAAGAAGTGGAATCTAAAAACGGTTGAAATCGAAAAGCGGAAATGTACGTAGGAGGTCAACCGTGCTCGGGAATGCAGTCCTGGAAAAGTTTAGATGGCGAATTGCTGAAGAAAAGCTTTTGAAGGTTAGTGTCTGTCGCTGGAAGTAACTGAGTTGATTTGAGAATCAGGTAGTGAAGAATTTGCTGCCCCCCTCTCGGCTTTATACTTTCAGGGTTGCGCCACTTTCACCGCGCGCACCGCGCCCGGAAGGCTCGCGCACATTCCATGCGCGCATTCTCGAGATTTCGGGAAGGCGCTAGAAGGCGCGGGAATGCGCGGGAAGGTTCTGGAACGGGGCGGAGCTGAAAGTCTCTCTCTAAGAGAGAGGGTGGGGGGAACTCCGCATAACCGCGTTGGAAGGAAAGTGCCTGCGGCAGGTGTGGTGCTCGCGCAAGGAGAGGTGACGCGGAACGTAGCGGCCCGCGGATGTGCGCGAGTGGCGGGAAAGTGAGGGGGTAACACCGCCGCCTCCGCGACGTCGCGAAGAGAATGTGTATAGCTTCGACAGAAGTTGAAAGACAACAAAATTATTAGCAATTTTACCTTTTTTTTTTTTTTTTTTTTTTTTTTTTTTTTTTTTTACAATTGAAGTACAGGTCTTCAGCCACGGGTTTGAATGTGTAGAAGACGCGAAAAGAAGACATCCCTAGAAATAGCTAGGATTGAAAAATTATCGGGCACTGATATATGCATCTATACCCGCTTCAGCTTCTGCGTAACAGCTTTATCAGCCCAGGTGACGAGCACGCACAACACCACCACCCACACCACTCCTCCAAACAATATCGAAGCATCCCATATCGGATCATCCACCAGGTAACTCCTCAGCTTCAGGTGCTGCCAAAAGCTCTCGGTCCACACAGGATCCACCAGATCCCCATGGCTGCCCGGCCGGGGAGGGACGATGCTCCAATGCGTGTTGTTGAAGACTAGGCGAGGGGAAAGAGCCGGAATGTACCTGAGGGGAAAATGACAGGGGAGAGGAGAGGAGAGGGGCTTGGCTAACACACACAGGATCCACCAGATCCGCATGGCTGCCCGGCCGGGGAGGGACGATGCTCCAATGCGTGCTGTTGAAGACTAGGCGAGGGGAGAGAGCCGGGATATACCTGAAAGAAATCAGCAGGCAGAAGAGGGATAGTGGGAAGAGCGGAGAGTGGGTGGTGGAACACAGGGTCCTGCGGGAATACACCATATCGGATCATCCACCAAGTAACTCCTCAGCTTCAGGTGCTGCCAAAGTTGGGGGGGCAATTCTCCAATGAGATGTACCTGTCGCAGACAAGTCAGAGGGGACAAGACCGAGATGTACCTGGAATGGGAAAAAACAGCAGGGAACAGCAGTGGGAGGGTCTATGCTCCAACTATTGCTGTTTAATAACAGTCAAAGGGACAAGGCAGGGACACTAACGTTGGGGAGACTAACTTTTTTCTCTGGAGCACCAGAAACTTGGACTCGAAAGGTCTCAAAAATCGCAGCCAAAGAACCCGTCCATGATGCCACTCACGTTGTGGAAGAAAGGAGGCACTCCCCTTTGGCAGTTGCCAGCACTCCCACACACACCTCCCCTGCTGCCCCACACTCCCCATTCTCCACACACTCCTTCCCCATTCCTCCCTTCCCCCCTCCTCCTGCTACACCCTCCTCCCTCATCTCCCTCCCCTCCCTCCCCTCCCCTTCCTTCCCTCTCTCCTCCACTTCCTCCCCTCCCTCCTCCCTTCCTCTTGGCTTTACCGCTGTTGTCTTAGCCAGGAAATTCCAAACAAACCGGGGAGTATCAGCAAGGGTATCGAGAGGAGGAGAGGAGGCGGCGGACGAGGGAGGGGAGGAGGAGGAGGGAGAGATGGACGGAGGCACCCCTAAAAAGACCCCAGCATAGTGACTAGGGGCAGGGTCGCGTGGAGTGAGGAGGGAAGAGGCGAGAGGGCAGAGGAGGCCTGGTGAGGGGGAGAGGAGGCAGAGAACGAGGTTGGATATGAGGGAGGCGTTAACTGATGCTCGGAGGGCGAGTGAGGGAGGGGCTCCGGAGAGGAGGAGGAGGGAGCGGGCGAGGAGGGTGGAGGAGAGAGTGAGGGAGAGAAGGTGGACGGAGGGGAGGGTGTCAAGGTGGCTGTTTAGGTAGGGGTTGGAGATGTGTTGGTTGAAGTCGGAGAGATGAAGAGCAGAGAGGCCTGCATGCTGGGGGAGGGCGAAGGGAGAAAGGGGGAAAGATCGAAAAGCAAGGGAGCACAGGGCAGATAGTTAAGGAAACTGGCAAAGAAGGAGGAAAAGGAGGTGGATGGATGGTGGTGGGGAGGGTGTCGAGATGGCTGTTGAGGTAGGGGTTGGAGACTTGTTGGTTGAAGTCGGAGAGATGGAGAGCAGCAAGACCTGGATGCTGGGGAAGGGAGGCAACAGTATGGGATAAGGGGGGGAGGGGGGGAGGAGGAATAGGGGAAAAAGTGGGCTGGGATGGAGGGGAGGGTGTCGAGGTGACTGTTGGGGCGGGGGTTGGAGACGTGTCGGTTGAAGTCGGAGAGATGAAGGGCAGAGAGGCCTGGATGCTGGATGGGAAAGGGAAAATTGGAAGGGGAAGGGAAGAGGGAGGGGAGGGAGTCGAGGTGACTGTTGGGGCGGGGGTTGGAGACGTGTCGGTTGAAGTCGGAGAGATGAAGGGCAGAGAGGCCTGGATGCTGGATGGGAAAGGGAAAATTGGAAGGGGAAGGGAAGAGGGAGGGGAGGGAGTCGAGGTGACTGTCGGGGTGGGGTTCGGAGACGTGTCGGTTGAAGTCTGAGAGATGAAGGGCAGAGAGGCCTGGATGCTGCGAGAGGAAGGGAACAATACGGGGGCAGGGGGTTGAGGTGACTGTTAGGGTAAGGGCTGGTTGGAGATGTGTCGGTTGAAGTGAGCGAGGGTATTCGAGTGAGGGTGTTCGAGTGAGGGTATTCCAGTGAGGGTATTCAAGTGAGGGTAGTCGAGTGAGGGTAGTCGAGTGAGGGTAGTCGAGTGAGGGTAGTCGAGTGAGGGTAGTCGAGTGAGGGTAGTCGAGTGAGGGTATTCAAGTGAGGGTATTCAAGTGAGGGTATTCCAGTGGGGGTTGCCTCTAACCACTCAGATACCCTCACTCACCTCAGCCTGCTTTAGAGTCGACTCAAAAGCAGATTCCAGTGGCGGTTGCATCTAACCACTCAGATACCCCCAATCACCTCAGCTGACAGTGCGAGCAGGGATGAGGGAAGGAGACCTGGCATCTCCGCGCTGGCTTCCTCCACACGCACACACCCTCACTAGATCCCTGGCACCAGGTCTTCTATCAACATTCCCGACCACCAGCACTGTCACTCACCTCAGCCGACATTGCAAGCAGTGAGGAGGGCGGAAAACCTGGAGTCTCCTCGCTTGCTTCCTCCACACGCACACCAGCACTCTCCTGCCCCTCCTCTTTATTTCCAGTTTCTTCAAACCACTCAGTGCCATAGCGAGCAAGGAGGAGGGCGGGAGACCACTCAATCACTGTTTCACTCACCTCAGCTGACATAGCGAGCAAGGAGGAGGGCGGAAAACCTGGAGTCTCCTCGCTTGCTTCCTCCACACGCACACCAGCACTCTCCTGCCCCTCCTCTGCTTCCGCTGCTGATGCAGTTTCTCCTTCTCCTTCCACTTGGGGATTCCGTTGGATGGATGCTGCTGCTTCTCTCACTGCCTTTGCCATGGCTGCCGCTCCTGTGGGCTGGGGGATCAGAAGGGGAAGTGCATGGACAGCAGAATGAGAAGCATGTGATATGAGACAAAAGAATGCTGCTGCTTCTCTCACTGCCTTTGCCATGGCTGCCGCTCCTGTGGGCTGGGGGATCAGGAGGGGAAGGCACAATAATAGAAGGCGCACTTCTCAGCTGCTGATGCAGTTTCTCCTTCTCCTTCCTCATCGGGATTTTGTTTGATGGATGCTGCTGCTGCTCTCACTGCCTCTGCCATGGCCGCTGTTGCAGTTGGCTGGTGATAAAAGGAGAAGGTGCACAGACAACAGACAATGCTGCTGCTGCTCTTATTGACTCTACAATGGCTGCTGCTGTGTTGAATCAAGTACACAGTGCAAACAACAGGCTGTGCTGTAACACATAATTACATGCAGATGTGATACAGTGTTATGTTATTACATACGCACCATGGGCTTCTCATAATGCATGAACAATGTCACATCCTCCTGAGTCCCATTCCCTCCTGCTCCTGCCATTCCCACCGACCCGACTTCCAGCATCTGTGCCTGATGGGACATATAAGAAATGAAGGGGAAACGACCAAAATGTGATGGCGAGACAAGCAGAAGAGGAGAATAGAGGAGGAAAATATGCTTCGATGTGAGAAAGAAGTAGGTATACATGCAACGATACAAGTAGGAGAAGAGGAAGTGCATCCAGGTCCAAGAGAAGACGACTAAAAGAAGAGCATCAAGGTGCAAGTGAGGTGAGGACGAAAACAACAGCACTAAGGATGAGAATTTGGAAATAAAGGTGCTTCCGAACACACGGAAGGATGGGCGGAAACAGCCAGCCGCTGTTTCCGAACACACATAATTTGGAAATGAAGGTGCTTCCGAACACACATAATTTGGAAATGAAGGTGCTTCCGAACACACATAATTTGGAAATGAAGGTGCTTCCGAACACACATAATTTGGAAATGAAGGTGCTTCCGAACACACATAATTTGGAAATGAAGGTGCTTCTGAACACACATAATTTGGAAATGAAGGTGCTTCCGAACACACATAATTTGGAAATGAAGGTGCTTCCGAACACACATAATTTGGAAATGAAGGTGCTGCAAAACAGCGGAGAGGGAGGTCGCTGATACACACGGAAAGAGAATCGGCGCGTGATACTGAGCGAGTGGCGGAGGAAGAGTTTCAGCGGAGAACCACAGCGGAAAGGGAGGTCGCTGCACTGCAGCGAGATGTGAAGAAACTGCAACTGAGAGCGCCATGCTCGATAGATAAAAAACCCATTGTTTGCAGTTTCTTCACATCTCGCTGCAGTGCAGCGACCTCCCTCTCCGCCGTGGCTCTGAGCTAATACTCTTCCTCTGCCTCTCACTCAATATCCAAGCCGATTCTCTTTGTGTGCACAGGACATTCTACAGCTAAGCGCTCTGTAAAACACGTGCCACACAAAAATAATTCTGATATGTGTAAAGACACATGTGAACATGAGTGTCGAATCATGCCGAGAATATGTGCAAATACCTCTGTGAAGTCTTCAAAAGAAAGCCCCTGCAGCACATCTCTCCCTACTCCTTCCCCCTTGGACCACTTTTCCAGCTCAAACAGCAGTCGCCACGACCCCAGATAGCCCCACCGCTCCCCAGGTAGTAGTACGAATGAACACCTAATGCTATAGCATGCCACACTCAATCGTGCACATACCATACCTGTGTAAAGTCTTCAAAAGAAAGCCCTTGCAGCACATCTCTCCCTACTCCTTCTTCCCCCTTGGACCACTTTTCCAACTCAAACAAGAGACGCCGCGACCCCAGGTAGCCCCATTGCTCGCCGTTTAGAGCAAGGAAGACGAGCTGATGGGAAAAAGTAAACAAGAAAGGAAGCACTTTTATAGACGAATAGAAATCCACCATCTCTCCTGCTCGAACGAACAACAGTCGCCGAGATCCCAGGTAGCCCCATTGCTTGCCGTTTAGAGCAAGGAAGACGAGCTGAGGGAGGAAGATAAAAAGGGGACGTAAGGGGAGGCGATAGAAATAAAGCTCAACAATGGATTCACATGGTCTCTGGTAGCTGGAACTCTCTCTGGTAACTGGAATTCTCTCTGGTAGCTGGAGCTAGAGTGAGGGGTATATTTCACAAACGCAATGCAATTCCATAGAAGTTGCATGTATGCGGTTACATGCTTCAGGGCTCGGATGGTGTATTTCACGTACGTGACTTAGTGCCCAGTAAATAAAACGAATCACACTGAAAGTGGCTCGGGTGGCAATCACATTACGTTTGGATACCTTCTTTGAAATCACTTTTGAGAATTCTCAAAAGCGGTTTCAATCACATTACGAAGGTGCATGAATGCGTTTGGATACCTTCTTTGAAATCACTTTTGAGAATTCTCAAAAGCGGTTTCAATCACATTACGAAGGTGCATGAATGCGTTTGGATACCTTCTTTGAAATCACTTTTGGGAATTCTCAAAAGTGGTTTCAATCACATTACGAAGGTGCATGAATGCGTTTGGATACCTTCTTTGAAATCACTTTTGAGAATTCTCAAAAGCGGTTTCAATCACATTACGAAGGTGCATGAATGCGTTTGGATACCTTCTTTGAAATCACTTTTGGGAATTCTCAAAAGCGGTTTCAATCACATTACGAAGGTGCATGAATGCGTTTGGATACCTTCTTTGAAATCACTTTTGGGAATTCTCAAAAGCGGTTTCAATCACATTACGAAGGTGCATGAATGCGTTTGGATACCTTCTTTGAAATCACTTTTGGGAATTCTCAAAAGTGGTTTCAATCACATTACGAAGGTGCATGAATGCGTTTGGATACCTTCTTTGAAATCACTTTTGAGAATTCTCAAAAGCGGTTTCAATCACATTACGAAGGTGCATGAATGCGTTTGGATACCTTCTTTGAAATCACTTTTGGGAATTCTCAAAAGCGGTTTCAATCACATTACGAAGGTGCATGAATGCGTTTGGATACCTTCTTTGAAATCACTTTTGGGAATTCTCAAAAGCGGTTTCAATCACATTACGAAGGTGCATGAATGCGTTTGGATACCTTCTTTGAAATCACTTTTGGGAATTCTCAAAAGCGGTTTCAATCACATTACGAAGGTGCATGAATGCGTTTGGATACCTTCTTTGAAATCACTATTGAGAATTCTCAAAAGTGGTTTCAATCACATTACGAAGGTGCATGAATGCGTTTGGATACCTTCTTTGAAATCACTTTTGAGAATTCTCAAAAGCGGTTTCAATCACATTACGAAGGTGCATGAATGCGTTTGGATACCTTCTTTGAAATCACTTTTGGGAATTCTCAAAAGCGGTTTCAATCACATTACGAAGGTGCATGAATGCGTTTGGATACCTTCTTTGAAATCACTTTTGGGAATTCTCAAAAGCGGTTTCAATCACATTACGAAGGTGCATGAATGCGTTTGGATACCTTCTTTGAAATCACTTTTGGGAATTCTCAAAAGCGGTTTCAATCACATTACGAAGGTGCATGAATGCGTTTGGATACCTTCTTTGAAATCACTATTGAGAATTCTCAAAAGTGGTTTCAATCACATTACGAAGGTGCATGAATGCGTTTGGATACCTTCTTTGAAATCACTTTTGGGAATTCTCAAAAGTGGTTTCAATCACATTACGAAGGTGCATGAATGCGTTTGGATACCTTCTTTGGACGGATACGTGCTTTGGCATCCGTATCTGCTTTGGTTGGCTACCTGCTACGGATGCTTCGGTTGGTTACCTGCTTGGGAAGGTCTGGAGCGGAGGGCTTTCGAAGGAGAGATGCAATGGCGTCTGCTGCTGCTAGCAAACAGATAAGACCCTGAGGGAAAGGGGGAGAAAGAGGGATAGGGGCAAGCAAACACACAGTAATCATGGGTTTCAATGGAGAGATGCAATGGCGTGTGCTGCTGCTAGCAAACGGATAAGACCCTGAGGGAAAGGGGGAGAACGAGGGATAGGGGCAAGCAAACACACAGTAATCATGGGTTTCAATGGAGAGATGCAATGGCGTGTGCTGCTGCTAGCAAACGGATAAGACCCTGAGGGAAAGGGGGAGAACGAGGGATAGGGGCAAGCAAACACACAGTAATCATGGGTTTCAATGGAGAGATGCAATGGCGTCTGCTGCTGCTAGCAAACAGATAAGACCCTGAGGGAAAGGGGGAGAAAAGGGGGGACAGGACAGGCCGAGGCAAACATGCATACCTGATGCACCAAAACGGGATTGATCTGTGACCACGCTCTACTGCACATAATTAACAGTTGGGTTTTGAGACGTCTCAGAACCGAGGCAAACATGCATGCATGATGCATCATGATCTGTGACCACGGTATATGTTTCTACCAGACAAGAGTGCAAATTGCTGCTGGGGAATGTAATGTGGATCTGGAATTTGCACTCTTGTCTGGTAGAATTACACGGGATTGCATTCCACACGGGAGTGTTTGGTGGTGGGGAATGCAAATTTGCACTCTTGATCCTGGTAGGTGTGTATTGTTGCACGGGAACATAAAATGTGCACTCTTTTCAGCAGATCTGGAATATTTCGGAAAAACAAACAAACACACCAACAAACAATATATATATATTTATTTCTATATATATATACTCACTGAATTACAAGACTTGGCCCCCCCGACAGCAGCATCACAGAAAAACGAGGCAGCGTCCACCCTACCTTCAAGTCTCTTGTACGACATATAAACTCGCAAGATATGAAGTACCAGAAAAATCTGGAAACTTACTGAAAAGGGAGACTCGGCTCCAACGGCAGCGTCACGGAAGAGCAAGGCAGGCAGCATCCATCTGAGCCATGGCAATGTGACTAACGAGTTGATTCATTAGGCGGAAACTCACGGAAATAGGGGACTCGGCCCCAACGGCAACATCCTTCTGAGCCTTGGCAATCACAGGTATGTTTTCTTTGAGTCGACTCGAATCGAAACAAGACCGAAACAAATCAACTCACGGAAATAGGGGACAGGGCCCCGACAGCAGCGTCACGGAAGAGCGAGGTAGGCAGCATCCATCTGAGCCATGGCAATCATAGGTGTGTTTAGAGTTGAAACAGCACAAAACTGAACATTTAACTCACGGAAATGGGAGATTTGGCCCCGACAGCAGCGTTTGAGTCGACTCAAAAGCGACAGCAGCGTCGCGGAACAGCGAGGCAGCATCCATCTTACCTTCAAGAATGCACCTTTACGCATAGGAAGAAACTCACGGAAATAGGGGACTCGGCCCCAACAGCAGCGTCACGAAACAGCGAGGAAGCATCCATCTGAGCCATGGCGATCACCAGCGGCTTCCTAGAAGGTTCCTTGCTTGACACGTCGATGGGAGGTAAAGACGCCATCACGCTGTGATAATGATACGAGCAGAGAAGATGGGTGGCATGGGGTGCGACGGGGTGACATAGGGTAGGGTGTGACAGGGTGAGATAGGGTCTGGTGCGATGGGGTGAGATGGGGAAGGGTGCAACGGGGTGAGATAGGATACGGTAGGGTGCGATGGGGTGAGATGGGGTAGGGTGTAATGGGGTGAGGTGGGGTAGGGTGTAATGGGGTGAGGTGGGGTAGGGTGTAATGGGGTGACGTGGGGTAGGGCACGATGGGATGAGATAAGGTAGGGTGCGATGGGGTGAGATGGTATGATCAGAGCAAGAGTGGGTTACCTGTGGCCTCCAAGGGGGAGGCAGGAAAGGTTGTCGAGACATGCCTGCGATGTGGTTGCTCCTATGCGCGTGGCCTGATGTGTTATGGGGGAAATAGGGGAGGGAGAGAGAGGGACGCAAGAGGAGGTAGCAACGAGGGCAAGAGGCAAAAGGGTTGGTGGTCTGATGGTGACGGGAAGAGAAGGGGAGAGAGGAGAGTGGAGGGAACAACGAGATGCAAGAGAGGCAACAGAGGTAAGAGTGGCAAGAGTGGCAAGACAGCCACAAGGGTCCCCCAAAGTGTGGTCTAATGGTGGCAGGGAGCTGGTGGCAGGGAGCTGGTGGGACATAAAGACAGAGGAGATCTAAGGAAAGTAACCTGGCCTGAAAATCACATTGTCCCCCTCCCCCGTTTAAAGTTTTTTACTACTATTTTTACAGACAACGAAAGATCAACGCACTCACAGTCATGATGGCATCGAATTCAGCCATGTAAAGCGGATAGCGAAAGTCCCGTCGACTGTTGACCTCTGCTTTCTGACCGTCACATGGATACCATGTCAGCATGACACCATGCCATCATGCCATCATGCCATCATGCCAGCATGCCATCATGCCACCATGCCATCATGCCATCATGCCACCATGCCACCATGCGTTTTCTAAAGGCTGGTATCAGCTATGTAGCTCTATCGACTTATCGTCGAGGAGGATACACAAGCAGGGAGCGGAAATGACAAGCAGTTAGAGTTTACGATCAGGGCGAAGGGTTATGTGGGGAGAGGGAGGAGGGGGGAGAATGGCAAGCGACCGAGGCACAAGCCGAGGGGGGTTGGGTGGGGTAGCAGACGGTGGGAGGGGGGTGTAGTTCTCACAAGACGTATATCGGCTGTGGCTTGATCGGAGAGGAGGGAGACCGGGAGCGGAAAGGAAATACGATCGAGGGATGAACCGAGGGGGTTCCAGGCGTAGGAGGTGTTGGGGTAGGTGGCAAAGGGGGACTGGGGGAAGGGGGAGGCGGGGGAGAGGGCTGGGAGAAGGGCGCAAGGGGGAACGGACGAAGGGGCAGTGTGAGAGAATCAGGATAAAATGAAGGGACGAGCCGAGGGGGTTCCACGGGTAGGAGGTGTTGGGATAGGCGGCAATGGGGACTGCGGGAAGGGGGAGGAAGGGGAGAGAACTGGGAGGGGAAGGGTTGAAGGGCAAGAGAACAAAGAGAAAGACAGAAGGAACTTGAGTCGCGGTTGTTCCTTTTAGGGGTAGGAGGTGTTGGGTTACAGAATTTTGAGGTGCCTCAAGAGTCGTCTTTAAAGGCGCCTCAAAAGGCGATGAAAACGGGACGGATCTATGAATGAGTTTTATCAGTTCAGAGTCAGAGTCTTAGCGGGAGGAACAGATGATTGGTTGGCAGACTCCACCACCATGGTGGATATAAATATTCGATCAAAGGAATGTTTTAGGTGCCTCGAAAATCGTCAGGGTATCACCGGGAACATATGATTGGTTAGCGGATTCCACCATGACGCAGATATAAATATTCGATCAAGTGTACAACATTTGAATGACCAAACAGGAGTCCCTCACCCTATGTAATGATCAAGTACACTGCACTTGAAGATTGGTACAGCAGGAGTCTTACCGGGAACAGATGTTTGATTGGCAGACTCCACCATGATGCCTGCCACGTGTCTGGCAATGACAGGATCTTTGGATATCCTGACAACACGCAACACGCATCAAGTGAAAGCACTTCAGTCTGGCTTCAAGCTTCGAGGGACCATTGGCGAGTGGAGGATAGGGGGTTGAAGGGGTGAACGAACTGCGGTGACTTTTGAGTCGACTCAAAAGTGACCTCGTGAAGCATGGCTGGTGAGAGCAGGAGGGCTCAACTCGAGTGGAGGATAGGGGGTTGAATGAAGGGGTGAACGAACTGCAAGACATCTATCTCTACTCAGAGGCACTTCAGACTGCTCAGAGCTCAGAGGCTCTTCAGACTGCTCAGAGCTCAGAGGCACTTCAGACTGCTCAGAGCTCAGAGGCACTTCAGAAAGGGGCACTCGTGACATGCTTCAAGCTTAAAGTGAGAGCACGCGGTGCAGCACTGCTTGCAAGACGAGGAGGGCTCGACTTTGAGGCGCCTCAAGAATAGACTCTATACAGAAAACGGGATTCGTGACATGCTTCAAGCTTACAGTGAGAGCACGCGGTGCAGCACTGCTGGCGACACCACGAGTGCTCGAGGCGATTGGAGGAGAGAAAGCTCGGAGGGTGAGGAGATGGCCTGAATCGGACCTGACACAATCTCCCTGCCAGGGTCTGGTTGGGTGGGGAATGATGGGGAGTGGTGGGGAATGGTGAGGAGGGTTGGAAAAAGGTTTGGGAGTAAGAACAAGTAGACAGGGATGGGTTGCGGCGGAGCACTCATATTTCCAGTCAGTCTTTTCTATTGATAACAGCTACAGTACAAGAAAATATCTTCAGTACATAAAAGCTAAAGTAGAAAACTCACTTCCACACCCAATAGGCCCTTCAATCGACAGCAGCCGCACACACGGCCAGTTCGCAGCTTCGGTGTACATGGCTGCCTCCAGGTCCGGCACCGAGGCGAACTGCTGCTGGGCTGCCGAGCCTGGAGAGGCACGGTGAAAGTGGCAAGGGCAGGGCAACAGATAGGAGGACAGAAATTGGGGAAGAACCAAGAAAATAAGTGATAACGGCACGCTGAGACTAGCTCTGCTGAAAGCGTAACTCATAGAAGAAGGTTGAATTCGCTACCATTAGCAAGAATGGAATTTGCGCTGGATACAGAAAACTGTGTTTCTTCACAGCGCCGTATTCGCTAATGATCGGTACTAGTAAAGTGCTGGTGACAAGCTACCTTGCAGAGAGACCAGTAAGGCAAGACATAGAACGCTGTGTAACCAGTGGTTACACAGCGTTCTATGTCTTGCCTTACTGGTCCCAAGCTACCTTGCAATGAGTCGGCGAGTGCGCATTTGAGAAGGATGACTGGCAGAAGGGCGAAGAGGTGGTTACACAGCACTCCACGTGTTGAAGGCGAGAAAGCCATTCTTAGCTAACGAATCTGAAGGGACGAGTCACAGCATTCCTACACTTGACTTAAAGCTCGGACGCGGGATGCAGGTATTAGGACGTGTCTTAAATGTGCGGATCCACCTGAGTCCGACACGGACCCGGCGGACCAGCTCTAGAACCACCCAGTGAACCAGCGACGGACTGGCCGAGATGCGGGACTTTTAACCACGTTCGAATTGCACTACAGCGGGCCATTGATTTGGTCGCCAGACCAGCCTGTGCCTGGTCCGTAACTGTAGCAACTCTCACTTTGTTGGCGAAATCTTTTGCCGTTCGAGACTGTTGCTCCTGACGGGATGGGGAGTTTTTACCAGCAAAAAGTAGGAGGTAACTCGATTTCAACATGAATGATTCGCGTCATTCGTATTTCCTTTCGCAAATGCTGAACAGCCCTTGACGCGATGTATCATGTAGACCACCTCGTGTCTGGTCCACGGCTGGTCCGCGAAGTGGGTCCGTCGTACCAGAATTGCGGTCCCGACATGCACAAATTAGCAACGGACCAGGTCGGGGCGGACCAGTGACATGAGACACCTTCTTAGGAGTTCACTCCGCTGCCTGACGTCTTGTAAGGGCGTAACTTTTTCGCTATTCATCGTCCGGACGGAGGCCCCGTCCGGACTTTTGTAGGGTTACTAAAGTCGTCAGAATTCGTCAAAAGGTTCGCAAGACCCCTCGCGACGTCGCGATCGTCCGTACGAGGGATGTCACTTTTCTGTCAGTTCATCGTCCGTTCTACGCTACTGACACCGTCCGGACAGCATTTCGGACCGTCCGGAACCCCTGCAACGTCATTGGTGCGCGAGACACATTTTTCAGAATATTTCCCACTCCAACTTTCAATTTTTTTGTGTGTTGTACTTGTCAACGGGAGCGTTGTAAGGCCCCGTCCTCGCTTGGGCGGAGCCAACCTTGTGGTCGGATGTGCGGGGGGGTGCAGTCGACCTACAACAGTGGGCACGGGGGCCACTGCAAGGGCGCCAAGCTGGAGGGCGCCTAGCTGGAGGGCGCCGAGCAGGAGGACGCCGCCCTGGACGCCTGGTTGGCGTCCCGGATGCCTGGACGGCGTCCTGGGAACCTGGACGCCGAGCTGGGCGTCGCCACGACTACCCGGGTGCCAGGTCGACTTCGTGGGCGCCTGCACGGCCTTCTGGAAGGCCAGATGCCGACCTAGACGTCTGCACGGCGCCCTGGGGTCCGGACGCCGACCTGGGCGTCCCAGGGGGCCCACACACCGACCTGGGCGTCTAGTCGGCGTCCTAGGAGGAGGGACGCCGACCTGGGGGTTCGGAAGGTGTCATGGGCGTCTGGACGCCGGACTGGGGACGTCGGGCATCCGTGGCCGACTACGGACTGCGCTGGTCGGCCAGGCGTGGTTGCCCGGTCGACCGGGATACCCGGGCGACGTGCGCAAGTGTCGCCAGGGTGGAGTCTGCGATGCCGACCTCGGGGGTGGTATCCCGAGGTCGACGTGGCTGGTGGGCGCAGTCACTGGCGTGGAGTCTGCCAGGCGCCTGCGCTGTGCACGTGACAGGGAAGTGTGCACCAACCAGCTGCGCGCACCTGCGAAGCAGGTGCACCGTTGTCCTGCGGGTGCAACGCTGTGAAGCCGACTTGCTGCAGCGCTGACACACCGTGGACTTGCAACGTTGGCGAACCGCTACTCTGCAACGCTGGAGCGGTGCGAGCGCTGCTGCGCTGGAGCGCGGTCGACCGTGCTGCGCTGGAGGTCGACCAGCAGCCTAGCTAGCACTGATGTAGTATGTGATGCCAATGTTGTTGCTACCATTATTGACATGTTTTCCTAGTGAAACTCTTGCCAATTCTCCCCGTGAACTAGCAAGCAGCGTGAACACAAGGAAACGACCAAGTGAACGAACGAAGAGATCACACGAGCACACGTGCCTAGCCCGTAGCCTAGCTCCCGTTGCAACAGTTATCTCCGCATGGTGCGGTGAGCGTGGACGACACCGCGACGTAGTTCAGTCTAGCCGACTTCGCACTTACCGATCGTGTTCGTAGATCGGCAGCCGTGCAGTCACTAGCGTGCGCGTAGGCGACGCCGAGGTGATGGACACCCTGGAGGGACGGCTGGAGGATGCGAGGAGACGCCATGAGGCACAGGAGTATGGGGCGATACCCTGGGCAGTCGTTGAAGCCGGACTCCGCTCCATGTGGGTTGCGGAGCACCCCCCTTCTCGACCTGCCTCTCCTCGACCGGTGAACAACGACGGCGGCGTCGACGTGGGCGTCAACGCCGGTGGAGGTCAGGTCGGCAGCAGTGCGGGAGGCACGTCGAGGCAGCGAGGTGTGATACACGCCGGTGAAGTCGGCGGCGTTCAGGCGCGAGGGATGCAGTCGCCGGCGGCTGCAGGCTCTTCACAAGGTGACGTCGGAGGTCGACCGAGTGGGCTGTTGCCGATGTCGGCGTCCCAGGTGACGGCAGGTAGGATTGCGCCGAGTTACGGCTACTTCAAGTTTACGCCGGACAGGATCTCAGTCACCCCTCCACTGGTCGGTCGACCCGACATTCTCACCTGGAAGGAAGCTATCGAGCCCTAGCTGGAGATGGCCGGACTGATCGGCTTCGCCCTAGGGACTGCGGCGACGCCGGATGAGCACCACCCCGACTTGCGGGCGGAGTTTCGCGCCGTGCAGCTGTTGACCTTCACGGTCATCTCGCGGTGCTGCTCGCCGGGCGTGCAAATCGCCTTGAAGTGGTGCCGGGAGTACCTCGACGCGGGCCACCGGGCATGGCACTTCATCGAGTCGACCTACCAGGTCACCGACGACCTGTTCATCGCCCAGCTGGAGGTACAACTGGCGCACCTGCGTATAGGTGACGAGGAGACGGCGACCGGCTACTGCAACCGGGCACGGCGAATTCTCGCCACCATCAGGATGGCCGGCGCGCAGTACTCCACGGCGTCGTACATCATCCATGTCATGCAGGGACTCTCGAGCAGCTACAACCTCTTGAAGCGGCTGTCCATGGCGCCAAGCACGAGGGCGACACTCAACGAGGACAACCTGACCTCGTACATCCTGCAGGACGAGGCGATGCAGGAGGCTGAGCGGTCACAGGAACTCTTGGCGCAGGCCAACTTCGTCGCCCCGGCGAAGCAAGGAGGCCGACCAAGACAGCGTGGGCAGTTGGGCGGCGGCATTAGCAGTGGCTGGAAGCCGAGCAAGGACGCGGACAAGAAGAAGTCGGCTAAGGATAGCGGTCGTGGAGGCAGAGGCCGACGCCGGGAATGCTGGCTTTGCGGCGACCCCGACCACCTCTCCTTCGAGTGCCCCGACCGCAGTGACCCCGATGACGACGACGCCAAGGGAGGCCGAGGAATGTCTGGCAGCCGTCGTCCTCGTCAAGGTGGAAGCAAGCCGCGCAAGGAGAAGCAGTCGACCAAGACGTCGACTTCGGCGAAGGACGCCGACTCCCCTGCTGGCGGCAAGGCGCGGGACGACAAGACGGCGTCGTGCTCGCTGGTCGGCGTCGTGGAGCCGACCGTCTCGCTGGCACCGGAGGCCGGAGAGGACTTCCAGGCGGTGGCGGCAGCTGTGCAGGCGAACCCGGCGGTGGTCCTGCTCGACAGCGGTTGCTCCCACCACCTGATGGGGACGAAGGAAGCCTTCGTCGACCTGCAGCCGAGCGGCGCCATCAGGCATGTGCGCGGCTTCAATGGGGCGCTGCAGGACGTCCACGGCCGTGGCACCGTCACTCTGCAAGGGGAGGCCGGGAAGCAGGTGCTCATCCCTGACGTGCTGTACGTCCCGGGTGTGCGGGCAAACCTGCTTTCAGCCGGCCAGCTGAAGGAGCACGGCGTGAAGCTGCAGGAGGACAGCGACGGGATGCTGCTCGTCTCGGCAGCAGAGGAGGTGCTCGGTCGGGCGACGTACACCAGGCGTGTCCCCTGCACCGATCTGCGCCCCTGCTCTGCCACGCCGACAAAGCATACCACGGAGGTAGTGGCCCTGCGCGCGATCGTCTCGGCGACGAAGGCATCGCCGAACAGGATGCACGCAAGGCTTGCGCACGTCGGCATGGACACCATCAGGAACTCGGCGAAGAACGAGGTCGCCATTGGGCTGGACCTCAAGTCGGCGACGGGCGCCGACTCACCGTGTGTCTCGTGCGTCGGCGGGAAGCTGGCGCGGCACACCTTCCCCGACCAAGGCTCCGACGCCGACGACGTGCTGGCCGTCGTGCACATCGACCTGTGCGGGCCGTTCCGCGTGGCTGCCAAGGATGGCAGCCTGTACTTCTTGTTGCTGAAGGACCGCAAGACCCGCTACGTGTGGGTGAAGCCGGTCGCCAAGAAGTCGGATGCGTTGCCGGTGTTCGTGCAGTGGCTGGCGGTGGCTGAGCGGCAGACGAGGAAGTCGGTGTTGATGCTGCGCTCTGACCGGGGAGGGGAGTTCCTCGGGAAGCAGGTCACCAACTTCGTGAACAGCAAGGGGATCGTCCACGACCTGACCTGCCCATACACCCCGCAGCAGAACGGCATGGCGGAGCGGGAGATGCGGACGGTG